AAAAAAAAAAAAAAACGGAAGTTGCAGTAAAAGAAAAATATTAAACAATATCCGACACATCCTTAGAGAACGTGCTACCGTAGTCAAGCCACGGCCCCTCCCCTGAGCCTCCCTCCGGTAAGAAGAAGAACCGCTCCAGCTCTCCAGACTCAAGTCTGTTAGTCGTTTCTTCAATAACGTCGAATAGGCGATCAGGAAAGTGGTCCCCGAACATGGAGGGCGAACACATCACCACCTGCACATCCGTTGGGGTCTCAAAAGCAGGTACAAAGACCTCCTCATAACTGCAGAAAGAGCGTGTGGTGGATGTGCAACACATGCATTTCCCTCGCACGACCGCCTTACAGAAGTGCACTAGTGTGGCTGGAGGAAACAACTTCTTTGGCTCTCTTAATGGCGTGTACGGTGTCTGACGGAGGTCGTCGCGGAAGGCGTGTCTCTCCAAGGAACTACGCATCGACGAATGGGACTGCACACGTACCATCTTCTCTGTCCGCAGGATATTCATAAAGAGGAGTGACTTTGGCACAGTGGAATTCATAAGAGCGTCTAAAATTGTCTCTCTTAAGGTGTCAAAGGTGTGGCTAGCCATACGCGGAATAACATCATTGCCAGCGAAGCATCCAGTGACAAAGCTCTTGCTGTAGACAACAAGTGCTGGCGACAGCAAACCTCCAGGCGGAGCGTACGCGAGACAATGAAGGCGGCTGCGGAGTTCCGGTTCTGCTGCATGCAGCATGATACTCAAGATGGTGGCCACCCCTGCGCCAAGCGAGTGACCAAGCACAACGACCTTGAGGTTTTTAAGCTCTCCATCAATGATACTATTTAGTATCCCGCTCTGTTGAAGCTCGCGCATTACATACTCCGCACTATGTTTCATGCCACCGTGGACGTAGTAGTCATCACTGGTTGAGTGGGTGTCCTGCTCGGCAGCCGGTATCTGCAGCACCTCGGGCACTGCAACTAAGTCGGTGATACAATCAGCAAAAGACATGGTTCCTCGTATTGCCACAACAACCGCGTTTGTACATCGGTCAATCACAACGAAAAAAACGGGACGAAATAGAGTGTTGTCCCAGCTCGTAAGAATAATGTCATCGTCGGAAATACCTGAAACTTTGAGTAGGGCTGTCACATCACAGTAGAATGTCGTTCCCTTGTGTATACCTGGATGCTGACGACAACTCATTAGTGGGTCGAAGCAAAAAAGTTTTGGCAAACCAACGCAGCAGTGTGTATACTCGTATAAAGGCCAGCCATAAGCGGACATGTAGAATTTGCTATATGAATGCAGCTCAGCTACTTGCTTCCTCTGGTGTTCAGTTAAAAGAGGGAATCTCCGCGCTTGCAACGAGATGCGTTCTGCGCGTCCGTCACCGGCTGATGGGTACCGCAGATTTGCCTGTTTAAGACGAAGGGCACGTCTCTGCATGCCATGGACAAGGAGCATACCGGCAACCACATCACTTGGCACAATATCGTACCCTCGAAAGAGACCAGTGAGTGTTCTGGCAACGTCCTGAAACGCATCTTTTTCCCTTGGCGCCTGAAAACAGCGACAGCACAACAGTCGGCAACGTTGCTTCCACAGTGACTCATATTCCGTGGTGTCATTCCACCCATGACGCCCGCTAGGGTCAAACGCGATGGCAAGCATTATGATGTAGCACAGTGGAACAAAGAAATTGAACACCAACGTGGTATGGAGAAAGTGTCGTGTGAGAGCCCCGCAGCTACTTATCTCCTCACCGTACAAAGCGAATCTTGTCACCGCGCAGCAAAGCCCCAGCAGCCCCAACGTGACAGCTGTAGTCACGTACAACAGGTAAGGTACGAGGCGTCGTTGGGAGACCTGAAAAGGGCCACCACGGCAGCTCAGTACCGCTGTCACGAGAAACACTGTCGCGTCAATGATATCGATAACACCAAGTGCGAAGACACACATTGCAAACCTTTCAGTAGCTTTTGGGCAATCAGGCATATAAGTGCTACCGCCACCACCTCCAAAACGTGTCAACACAAGAATACCGTTTACTATGAGGATTACAGCAAAGATTATACCAGAGTACGTGAAATCATCCGAAGACGTGCGCCACTTCCTGCCGAACCAATTCAAAGCCGGCATTCCTAAGGCGGCTGAATGCCACTACTATGGTAGATGTTTCTCTCCCGCTTATGCCCCTTTCCTTTACTGTGATTAGAATACACAGAGTTGGAAGAATGAGAGTGTGAAGCAAGCCAAAGTGCCCTCCATCAAGCCCATCCATGAAGAGGGGGGAACGCCCCCCCCC